CAATCCCAGGAGGCAGATCAGTGATTCTCTCTCATCATTGATGTTTCTATCTTTCTCTCCCTCTACCTTCCTCTCTGAAATCAATAAAAATATACTTAAATAAATAATAAAGCCAATGGCAAGGATCGAGTTGTTTTAATCCAAAGGGGGTGGGAATAGACACACCTGGGGCATCCACTGAAGTTTTATAAAGCTGTTTTTAAGGATAAAATTAAGGAACTGCTATGGAAAATAGTACGATCTGTGGCCCTGTGCCTGAAAAGCCTCTAGGTGCAGCGCTTGACAGAAGAGGGCTCACCTGTCCAGCAGGTAACTTCAAGGGTCCAACGGAGAGGCCAAGAGCTCAGAAAGATCAGACAGAGGGCTCCACTCAGATTTGGGGGAGGGGGGTGGGAGGGTACTCACAGGTCTACTTTTTACATGGAGACTTGGAGGTGCTGGAAGAATTGTTTAGCATTAAGGAGCTGTATTTAAAGACAGAAAACAAATAAACAGGCACTTCTCTACCTGGAGTAGTACAGCAGAGGGGGTGTGAAAACTGGGCTACTGAAGAGGCATAAAACAACCAAAACCCTGAAAACAACTCAGAAGCTCCTCTCCTGCAGGTAGCTCCCGTTCTGCTGGGCCACGTGGTGAAGTGTGGGACAGTGCCACCTTGGAACACTCCAAGTGGGGAACAGGAATGGCAGCAACAGCACTTCAGTGAATCAAAAACAGAGATTAGTGTCCAGCTCTGTGCATGCTGAGAGACAAACCACATCTGGATTTCAAGAATCCAGACAAGTACAGGGAAAAACACAGAAAACCTAAAGAAACTAGCCCCAAATTCAGAAGAGCAGTGACTTCTGAGGGAGGCAGGGATGAGCACAGGTGAGTCTCCAGGGCTGGGGGGCTGTTTCTTACATGAGGTGGGGGAGCCAAGAGGGTTTTTCCACTAGTTATGCCTATGTGTGTGCGCATGTCATTTACACCCTCTGGTTAACACTCTGTAAATATCCTGGAGCACAATCTCCTGAGAAGCTAGCATGCTCTGTGCACAAGTCCCACAAGAAAGAGGAGAGGGACACGAAATTTCTAGATCTAGGGAGCCCAGCTAAAGCTGTGTGACATCTGCTGAGCATCCCCTCATATCGCTTGGTCCAGGCACCCGAAAACCAGCGGAGCCACACACCTGGGCTAAGGTCACAACACTATGTAGACAAGGGCTTCAGAAGGTCAGTCCCAGAGGAGATGCCCAGAAAATATCACTGACCTAATGAACAGAAAGCCTCAGAAGCCAGGGCAGGGCCTCCATACCTGGGAGGGCCAGCATGCCTCAACCAATGAGAAGGAATCCCAGGGCTCGTCCCAAGAACTGGAGGGTAGGAAGGGCAGTTAAAGCCATTCCAGCCCTAGTCAGGTCGGCTCAGTAGACAGAGTGTCGGCCTGTGGACTAAAGGGTCCCAGGTTCAATTCCAGTCAAGGACACATAACTCAGTTGCGGGCTCGATCCCTGACCCTAGACAGGCCCATGCAGGAGGCAACCAATTGATATGTCTCTCTCACAGATGTTGCTATCTCTCTGTCTCTCCCCCTCCCTTCCTCTCTCTCTCTAAAAATCAATGGGAAAATATCCTCAGGTGAGGATTAACAACAACAAAAAAGCCATTCCAAGTGAAAATATCAAAGTCTAGCACACATCTCCCCTCTGCAGCTCCTGCCCACTCCAAGTCCAATCGACCCTGAGTCGTCTTCTTTCTTAAACACCAATCTCATCGAGTCACTCTCCTACTTACAAGTTTTCAATGGATTCCTAATACCTGAATAAAGTCCACACTCAGGCCTGGCCTCGCTGTGCTTCCCAGAGGGCCCTCAGCCCCCCTCTCAGCTGGGTCCCTTCCAGTCATGCCCAAGTGCCCCCTCCTCTACTAAGACTGTTCTGCATTTCCCTCCTCCCAGCCAGTGTCAGCAACAGCTATCCCGCTGCTTCCCACAATGCACCTCACCTTCTGCCCATGCTCTGCTCCCTAGCGCCCCAACCAGGCTCCCAAGGTTAGAGACCCTGAATCCCACCAGCCCAGTAGCCACAGCTGCACCTGGCATGCAGCAGGCCCTCATAAATGTTTCTTAGGTGAACAAATGCCAGTCAGGAAGAAGCAGTGCTCAGAAGAGACAGGGTGAAATATACATGAGAGAAGATAAGGTGGAGGTGGTGAGGGGGAAATGATAAAGGAGAGGAGCCCAGAGCCCTTCCTTGTCAACAGTTCCAAAGCTGTTGTTTACATTCTTTTTTTTTTTTTTTTTTTGGCAGGGCCCACATTTCACATTTTATTGCACTTTTTCCACAATCACTGAGTCACACTGGGCTGTGCCCAGGGCTCCGGAGGCAGGACCTGGAAGATGAGGCTGCACAGCAAGCCATTCCCGCAGAGGGGCTGCCCCAGGGACCTAGTGGCCATGGTTGGGACACCCGTCGAGGACTGAACCCCATACCCAGCGCCCACGTAGCTGGCCCTCATGACTCCCATCCCCGTCTGCACACCGCCTCCCAGATGCTGCCCTCCAACAGGGTGTTTACATTCTTAAAAACCAGTAAGGACTCCCAAAGAACTTTTATGAGGCTCATATGTTACTGTCTAGCCCAGCGATGGCGAACCTTCTGAGCTCGGCGTGTCAGCATTTTGAAAAACCCTAACTTAACTCTGGTGCCGTGTCACATCTAGAAATTTTTTGATATTTGCAACCATAGTAAAACAAAGACTTATATTTTTGATATTTATTTTATATATTTAAATGCCATTTAACAAAGAAAAATCAACCAAAAAAATGAGTTCGCATGTCACCTCTGACACGCATGTCATAGGTTCGCCATCACTGGTCTAATAGATGCTACTGTGTGACTATATTTACTATTCTATTTACTGCATTAGAAAAACTGGTAATACAAAAATAAAAAATTTAACTGATTAAAATATCAAAACAACTCATTTTATATTAATATAAATAAAATTTTTAAAAACCAAACTCTTGGCCCTGGCCGGTTTGGCTCAGTGGATAGAGCATCGGCCTATGGACTGAAAGGTCCCGGGTTCGACTCCGGTCAAGGGCACATACTTCAGTGGCAGGCTCCATCCCTGGCCTTGGTCGGGGCTCGTGCAGGAGGCAAGCAATTGATATGTCTCTCTCACATCGATGTTTCTCTCTCTGTCTCTCCCCTTCACTTCCACGTGCTCTAAGAACCAATGGGAAAAAAAATCCTCGTGTGAGGATTAAAAAACAAACAAATAAAAAAACAACTCTTCCAGCTCTGCCTGGTGTGGCTCAGTTAGTTGAGTTGTGTCCGTGCACCAAAGGGTAGTGGATTCAATTGCCAGTCAGGGTACATGCCCAGGTTTTGGGTTTGATACCTGGTTGGGGTGTGTCCAGGAGCCAACTGATTGATGTATGTTTCTCTCTCTCTCTCTCTCTCTCTCTCTCTCTCTCTCTCTCTCGCCCCCCTTTCCTCTCTTTAAATCAATAAAAAATAATAACAATTTTTAAACTACTCTAAATGAAAAATATTAGTGAGAAGAGTGGCATTGTTTTGTTTTTGCAAATCTCTCTAATGTTTGATTTAATAGAAGTAACTGGATTCCCATATCTGCTTCTGTAGTCAGTCTGTTAGGCTATGTGGTTTTGATTAAAGTCTACGAAGACATTTGACCTTACACAGAAGGAAGGGAGGAGTATTTTAATAACCTTTTCAGAGATGTGGCTCTTCTTCATAGATATACACTACAACTTGGCAAGGGGTAGTTTCTTAAAAATTGCAATGTAAAAATAAATAAGTAAAAATAAAAATTGCAATGTAGAATCTGAAACTGTGGTCAGTGATTTATTCGTATCTGGTTATAACAAAAATCCATTGGTCTACCCTACATTCATACTCAACCAGGATTTTGTAACACGAAGCATTGGTCATTTGGAAATATTGGTTCACTGAGTTAATCCTATCTCCCAAATGTTTTCACACCAAAAAAAAGTCCATATTAAGACCACCACTTAATTTCTTTAAGACAGTCTCCTGGTGACAGATAGGAGTTTTCCAAAATTCTATTTTCTCCTGACAGCTCTTTCACCAGCAACAAATATTTTCAGTTGTGGCAAGGCACACCTTGTTCATCTGAGAAAATGTCTGACAAATTCTCTGAGTCTGAATAACCACACCTTGTCTGTCAGTCGTTCATTCAAGTGAAAATAATGTTCCATGAAGAAAAGCAGCTGGTTCAGCACATAGCGCAGCCATCAGTCAGAGACAGGAAAGCCTCACATGCACTCGCGCTCCCATCTTGTCACACAGAATACTAGAGACATGTACTCCAGGGTCTAGACAGGGGTGGGCAAACTTTGTGACTCGAGGGCCACAATGGGTTCTTAAACTGGACCGGAGGGCCGGAACAAAAGCATGGGTGGAGTGTTTGTGTGAACTAATACATGTTAACACTGCTGCTGGTGAAGGAGCGGAGGGAGAGCAAGAGAACCCTCCGCTCTTTCGGCTCCGCGGGCCGGATACAACAGCCGAATGGGCCGGATCGGCCCGTAGTTTGCCCACGGCTGGTCTAGACATACCTCCCCATGGCCCTCGGGAGGGGGGGGGGCACCCACTATGCAAGTGTCAACATGGGACAAAGACCAATAACTTCTAAATATTATGTAAAGGGTCTTGGGGACCCCCAGGGATCTGCAAAACACTCTGAGAATAGCTGACAACAATTATTTGAAATATTTCTACCAGCCTATTTTACAGGCATGGAGAAAAACAAATTTCACACCAGAATCTTCTTTTTTAAAAATATGTATTTCTTTATTGATTTCAGAGAGGAAGGGATAGGGAGAGAGAGAGAAACATCAATGATGAGAGAGAATCATTGATCACTTGCCTCCTGCACGTCCCCTACAGGGGATCAAGCCCGCAACTTGGGCGTGTACCCTTGGCCAGAATCAAACTTGGGACCCTTCAGTCCGCAGGCCGACGTTCTATCCACTGAACCAAACTGGCTAGGGCCAGAATCCTCTTTCACCAAACAGTAAAATCCTGGATAAGACTCCTGCCAAACCTAAGAGTAACAAATTTCAAATAAAAAGGAAGTGCCATTTCAAATGGCATTCTCAAATGCTCTTAGAAGCAGGCGGGCACAAACAATTAAAGGACCCTCCAAGACCTGTTAACTCACAGAGCAGGTAATACGTCAAGAGGCAAGCTGGGCCTCTGTAGGCTGTGGGACCTGAGCTGGTGTTGTGGAGGTAGAGGTGGTCGGTGGGGGAGGGGTGTTACAGGAAGCAGGATGTGCATGCTGCCTGCTGGGGGCATGAAGTCAAAGTCCCCTCCTGTCCAAAGCGGCTAAGCCAGCCCTGCTGCCCTTATCAGCGTCAACACATGCATGGAATGTGGGACTTTGGAAACAATCCTCTCCACCAGGCCTGCACCCCTCTGGGGCTCAGGTTGACCTACCACCATCAAAGGACGACCCAAGCCCAGTGCTCCAGCCACCCACTCCTGGAGAAAGGCACCTGCTGGTGGGGCCAGGGCACCTCAGGAGGTTGTCGGTGGGCTCCTCCCTCGTGGCCAGCATTGCCAGACCCTCTGGGCCCATCTGCCAAGAGACAGCCTCACACTGCCGAGAGGCCACCCTCCCTGCATCCCCAACACCATCAGCCGCAATGCCTGAGCACCTCCCGTTTGCCCACACTGAGAGAATCCCCAGAGAAGAAAAGGAGCCCAGCTCTGAGTTTCCGGGGACACTGTCCCCAACATGCTCTCCTGGAGGGAGTTTCCACAGGGCAGAGGCTTCTAACATGCCAGGAGGGAAGGAAGGAGTTGTGTGACTAAAAGGATAAGAATGGCCAGAGAGTCCTCTCTGCCCTGCAGGTCCTGGGAGAAGGGGGAGGGCACTTGCTCAACAGGCTTGTAATGGTCCTTTCCCAGCCACAGGGGACTACCCTTCAGCCCCACTTCCAGTTCCAGGAGCCGGACTCCTTGGCTTTATCCAGGCAGCCACCTCCCCACCCCACTCAAGTGAAACCCTTGGCTGTCTTCTGGCCCAAGCACTGCCCACAGGAAGAGCCCACACATACATGGTCAGTGCTTCCACGCACATATGAGTGTGTTTCTCACTCTCTTAGAACTTATCTAATCACTTCCTGGCTGTAACTCAGATGTCAGGAGCCTCCCACAAGGCCTAGCATGGGGTAAGAGTCCAACAGGAGCTCCAGGGACCTCTTCTGCCACTCTTTTCTTAGCGTTCGGTCAGGAACTCCAAGAACCATCCTCCTCCCGGTTTTCAAAAAAGTCATGTTTAGCACTTGCCAGACAAAAAAACCATCAGCTGCCTCCTACCAAAGGGCAGGGGAGGGATGGAGTGGAGAGGCAAAAACCCTAAAGTAGGCAGACACCCATCCCCAAGACCACTCCCTATCAACACAGCCCCCTGGGTCCACCTACCTACGAAGATGTGTGCGGGCAGAGAAGGAACAGAGAGAGGACATTTGGACTAGACCCCATACCACCCCCTTCCTACTTGACGCCCCCGCCAAGGTCACTCTCGATCCCATCTCCTTCACTGCCCCAGCCCAGGCTGCTCTTCCTTCTCTACAGGACACTTCCTACCCAGGACACCAACCAGGGCCACAGCAGACCACCCACACCCAAGGGCCTTGCCACTCACCTCACATGGTAGGCTGCCGGGAACAGGCAGGCTGTCCTGTGTCCTGTCAGTCCACAGATATGAACTAAACCCCAGGAAAGCCCATTGTTCTGTCCCAACAAAGGGGGCTGGGCTGGGCAAGCAGGCCTTACCTGAAGCTCTGCCTCCAGTGCCCCTCCCACTCTGCCTCCTGGCCCCTTGTGAACGGCCCTCTCACACACCTTACCCAGATAACAGCCCAGGGACCAACCTCTCTCTCTCCCAGGGACCCTGAGGGGAAAGGGAAGGGACACCAGCCCAAGAGTCTCCAGCAGTGGCCACAGCAAGCTTGTTAGGGAGCCACAAGGAGCCCAAATGCCACTATGTCAGGTCTAGGCAGGGCATACAGAGGCCAACCACGTCCCAAGAATGCAACCAAGAAACCAGGACAGGCAGACTCTCAAGGCCAAGGAGGACCTGGAGTCCCTCCCACTGCCACCCAGATAAGAGGGACCATGAAGAGTGAGCCCCTCTGCACTTGGTGCTTCTCCAAGATCCTGGTAACTAACAAAGAATCAGCCTAACTTATGTGAACCCAATCCTAGGAGTCCATCAGAGTAAAGCAGTTTGTGACCACCCTAGATCACATACCGGTCCATTTGGGCTCACCATTTGCTTAATTCTATTATTGACAAAGACTTATCACCTGCTAAAGTAGTGGTTCTCCAATTTGGCTGCACCCCGGATTCATTTCAAAAGCTCTAGGACACGTGTATGCCTGGGCCCACCCCAGAGATGGGCTGGGCTAGCCTCTGCCAGCTCCTAGTGACCCTGATATGCAGAGCTGAGAACCCGGGCACCAGCGGGCAGGCCTCAGTCAGGTTGCACAGGGAACAACACAAACTCAGGGGCACAATGTGTAGCCGTACTCATCACTAAGGAAAGTCCTACTATGTCCATACAGGGGCAGGCACTAAAGCCCTTGTCCCCGCTCTCCCAGCCATCAACCCTACTCTCCCTCTCATTCATTTATGAACAAGAATTCACCAATGCAAAGCAATGAGGGAACGGCAATGAGGGGACAGGCCCCTCCCTTAAAGAGCCTGCAACAAGCTGATGAAGAGGCCAAGGGGCTCAGACCTGTGTGGTGATGGGAGCAGCGCCTCCACCCATTGGGGGGGGGGGGATGGTAGTGCTGTTCTCAAGGCACTGAGTGGCCCCACACCCGCCTGGGAGAACCCACCCACCCAGAGGTGCTGCAGGCAAAGCAGCCCGAGGCCTTGGGAGCAGCCTGGAAAACAGGGGAGGAGCCTGCACAGCGGCCACGCCCATGCCACAGCCAGCAGTCCTTCCATCTCCACAGCAGGCCCACTCCCCTGCTAGAAGCTCCCCCTAAGCCAAGCCCAAGCCCTGCCTTTCCTTGGAATTGCCATGTGAGGGGTGGAAAGACTGGGCCACTTCCCTCCTCACCCACACTCCACATGCTCCAGTAAGTGGATTACCTTCAAACGGGAATAATCTCACAAGCAGCAGCAAGACCCTTTGGCCAAGAGGCAGCTGGCTGTCCGCTCTAGCAGGACCTGCTCTAACCTTAAGGCAACCCTTCCCGCCGGCCCTCCACCCACATGGGACATTACCATGAAAACCTGAAAACTGAAGTCAGAAGGAGGGGCTCTGAACTCCTTCCAAACTGTCCCAGGCAGTTTCTTAGGGTCACTCTCTCCATTCAGTTGAGGTGCCCGTGCCCTGGCCCTGTCCTCCTGGACTGTGGTGAAGCCTGCAGTCAGCTCCTGACTTTCTCTCCCTTATCAAACTTACTGGGGGGCCCACACACAACTCCTATCCCACCCGCTGAGCCTGCAGTCCCTCTCACAGCCCTCCCCCAGCACAGGTCCCTAACCCTTAGGGCAAGGCCCCTCCCAGGAGGAAGCACAGCGTGGTGGTGCCAGGCAGAGTCAAACTGGCTGGGCTTGTTTACAAGTCCCTAACCAAGCCCCTAACCTGGAGTCAGGATCGTCCTCATCTTGGGGAAGGGGCTCTCTGTCCTGCCCCTCCCTGCTGGGACCTCAGGCCGCTCCAGATTCAGCACTACATGGGCCCTCACAGGCTCTGGAGTCAAAGGCATTTACCCTCCAGCCCCAGCCCGACCAGTTGCTTACTTACAACTTCAGCAAGTTATTTAAACTCCGAATCTCATTTTCCCCTTTGTAAGAGGGGACTCTGGGCAATTCAGGTGGGAGACTTGTTGGGAGACCACTTGTAGGCAGGTCTGTGAGCACCAGAGAGCAGAGACCAACCTAACTAGTCAAGCCACAGGGGCTGGCACTGCATTTGTTCTCAGAAAATTTTGTGGAATAAAAAGCTCATGGAAAGCCTCAGGTGCCTGGAGGACAGGGGGTGTTCCTGTGCTAACTTCTCGTAACAGCATCTGCTTGTCCTGCCTTTGTCAATGCTCTCCTGTCCCCCAGCCACACTCCACTGTTTTACTAGCACTGAATACGCTCCCCATTACAGTTCCTCTCTGCCCTAGCTGGTGCTCAGTGGTCAGCGCATTGACCTGCAGACGGAAGGGTCACAGGCACTATTCCGGTCAAGGACATGCACCTAGGCTGCAGGCTCTATCCCTGGCTCCATCAATGTTTCTCTTCTCTTCTCTCTCT